TCAGTTTCCTATATCTAATTGATGTAATATAGTATGGGGTTTTTCTCAATTGTTTTTCCTTAATCCTAGCATCACTGAGAATAGCAACATCAATGAACCAGACTTTGTTTTAGATCAGGCATGTTATGAACAAGATGGCTGTCTGTTTGGATCTTAAAGTCCCATAAGATCTTAACCTCTCATTTGCAAAACCTTCTCAACTTGATGGTCCCAGTAGTTTTTACCACATTCAGATCCAAACCTCTGGCAAAGTTCCAATCAATAATTTTGGCAACTTGGTCATGGTGATGTCTGTAGTCAGTTTGTGAAATTGCTGCAGTCACTGATTAAATGGTCAATTGTTTCATTCTTTTCACTACAAAGGTGACATTTGCTGTTGCAAACATTTGCTATTTACATGTTGAATTTTCACCTTCATGCAATTAAGGGGCAAAATTTGCTTTAGAGTCACTAAAATAAAGCTTTCAGTTCCTTTATTTAACACTCCTGATTTAAGCAACTTCATGTGGGTTTTTAAATCAGCTCTTTCCTCTCTACTCTTCAATTAACAAATGGGTTTTCAGTTATTTCTGTTCTGTATTCGGCTTCCACTTTGACTGACTTCCTTCAGCAAGGGTTCTTTGCTTTTCTTAATGTAGTCACTCAGGCCGTGTTTTTCTTCATCCACAGTTTGTTTCACCTGTAGAAATTCTCTAATTTGTTCAGTTCTTGGTAAACACAGATGATCAATATCAATTTTTGGGGTACAAAGCATGGTACATGATCATTAGTTTTCTTTCAATCCAAGTTACCATCTGGGTCTAGTCAACAACTCCTGCTTTATATTGAACAACACGGACAGCCCAGATTATTATTAAATTGTTACTATTACTAATTAACTGATCACAATTTGTGAAGTCACAGCTGCCTGTTTGTTACTGGTATTGGCCTTCATATACACTGAGTTCTTCCCAAGAATCCAGGATGTCACGATTTATTGTTGTGACATATGAAGATCCAAGCAGTGTGGATTTTTGCAATTGACAGATGGAAATGTTGCTAATGGGCAGAATTTCTACGTGCCATACAATATTGTTTAGTATGGGACCCAATGTATCGATAATAACCACTCATATCACTCTGGATGGTTTATAGTAATAGCAATAGTACTTAGACTTATAGACCATTTCACAGTGCTTTGCAGTCCTCTCTAAGCAGTCTTCAGAATCAGCATATTTCCCCAACAATCTGGGTCCTCATTTTACTGACTTCAGAATCTTGAGCCGCTCAGAATTGAACTGCTGGCAGTCGTCAGAGTTAGCCTGGAACGCTGCATTCTAACCATTGCACCACCATGGCTATAATCTATAACTGTGATGGTGAACCTTTTAGAGACTGAGTGCCAAAACTGCAACCCAAAACCCACTTATGCATCGTCGGGTGCCGGGTGGGTGTGGCCCATTGGGTGGGTGTGGCCCATTGGGTGGGCATAGCTGCAGTGGTAATGGCAGACTGGGTGGAACTAAAAAGTTCAATCAATCAATTCCAACTTTGCAAGATCTTTTTTTTCCCACGAGAAGTTGAAATTGACTGATTGATTGAACCTTTTTTTTTTGCACACAACGGTGGAGGCCTAAAGCAAAAAGGTTTTATAAAACCCAGCTGAAGGTCTAGGACTGGGGTGACGGTGTGCTTGACCTGTGCCATAGGTTCGCCACCATGGATCTATAATATAATTTTATAATCATTAATTATTATTATGTTTGGTCACACAGTCAGCCAGAAGTTTAGACTGGATTTCTATCCACCTATCAAATTCTTCCCAAGGATGTGAGATAGGCAGGTATTTGTTTGATGTAAGCTGTTCCAAGTAAAGCTTCCTTTTGCAATTAACTGCTGGGCATTTAGTCAGTACTGATGGTGTCTAAGTGGTGCTCCAGAAATTTTGGAATTGCACCCAAGATAAAACTATTATTATTGATATTATCTATCTAAGATGACCTATTTTCAGATCTTTATATTTTGTGATTTTCTCCAATTCTTTCTCTGCATGGATGAAGGACATGATTCATTGTCATTATTTTTCTGGCCTTCTTATTCAGGCCTTTTGCACACTCATAAACATACACACAGATAATCCTCTCTAGATTTGGGTGCTATTATTTATTTATTTATTTATTTATTTATTGTAGTGTATGCTCTCCTATTGGTAAAAGTTCAATCACCTTTGCTTCAGCTTCATATAATCTGTCTGTCTGTCCGTCCATCCATCCATCCATCTATCATCTATCTATTTATCTCCACCGCCTTAGGCTGCCTTTAACTTTGGACTTTCCATCTGGCTTAAATGAATAGGACAAACTCATTTACATAAAGGATGTTCTATAAGATAATGGAGAAAAATGTGGGCAAAATTGTTATTACAGAATATTACATAATAACAAAGTTGGAAGCGATCTTAGAGGTCTTCTAGTCCAACCCCCTGCTCAAGCAGGAGACCCTATATCATTTCAGGCAATTGGCTGTCCAGTCTCTTCTTAAAAGCCTCCAATGATGGAACATCCACAACTTCTGGATGCTCACCAGTTAATTTTTCCACTGATTAATTTTTCTCACTGTTAGGAAATTTCTCCTTAGTTCTAGGTTGCTTCTCTCCTTAATTATTTTCCATCCATTTTTTCTTGTTTTACCTTCTGGTGCTTTGGAAAATAGGTTGACCCCTCTTCTTTATGGAAGTCCCTCAAATATTGGAACACTGTTATCATGTCACCCTTAGTCCTTTTTTTTACTAGACTAGACAAACCCAATTGCTGCAACTGTTCTTCATATATAGCCCCCCACCCATCTTTGTTGCTCTTTTCTGCAGTCTTTCCAGAAGCTCTACTTCTTTTTTTATGATATGGTGACCAAAACTGGATGCAGTATTCTAAGTATTGCCTTACTAAGGCTTTATAAAGCAGCACTAATACTTCACGTAATCTTGATTCTATTCCTCTGTTAATACAACCTAGGACTGCATTGGCTTTTTTGGCCACTGCAGCACATTGCTGGCTCATATTTAAGTGACTGTCCACTAGGACTCCAAGATCCCTCTCACAGTTACTGCTATTGAACCATGTTTCACCTAATCTGCATGTGTACATTTGGTTTTTCTTGCCTAATGTAAGTATAAAACCTGACTTTTCTCTACATTGAATTTCATTTTGTTTGATAGGGGTCAATGTTCAAGTCTGTCAAGATCCATCTGGATCTTGAACCTATCTTCCGGGGTGTCAGCTATTCCAGCCAGTTTAGTGTTGTCTGCAAATTTGATGAGTTCCCCTTTTATTGCCTCACTAACATGGTTTATGAAGATATTGAAGAGTACAGAGCCTAAAAAATGGAATCTTGTGGTACCCCACTGCTTACTTCGCTCCATGTAGATGTAGTTCCATTAAGGACTACATGTTGAGTGTGATTTGTCAGAGAGTTAAAAATACATCTAGTGGTGATGCTGTCCATCCCACATTTTTTAAGTTTACCAAGAAGTAGGTTGTGGTCTACTTGTCAAATTATTGAATGATTTAAATTGTTCAACTGAAGCAACCATTCTGAAATGATTCCCTACCCATTGCTGACCAAAAGACCATAAATGGATTATTGTTCAATGCAATTTTGCTATGAAAGTAGAAACAGCATAGCTTACTGAATGTCCTTTCCTTTCCTTTTTTCGTTAAATTAACTGCAAGATACTTTATCACTGTCTATTACCATGACCTTGTTCTCTGTTCTTTTTCCAAATTTGCAAAGCCCAGCTTAATATCCCCAAATGTCCTTTGGCATACATATACATAATAATAGAAGAATATATCAATGATGGATTAAGGAAAACATAACATTTCAAAGGTTGGATGGAATACTGAATTCAGTCTTAGTGCAATCTATTAGAAAGTATTCTGATTTCTATTCTTCCACTTTCCAGTGAAAGGACATACCACATACTACATCCACAGCACAGTTCCTAGCTCATCTTTGTTAAATCTGAAGGAAGTGTCTAAAATAGCATAGATTGACATTCCATAAATTGGAATCTTTTTGTACTAACTTTTAGTTATCTTAGTGTTGCTATTTTAAATATGTTTATATGGACTGTCCAAAATATATCTTCATCTCCTGGAGCAGGTGAGATAATTTTAACTGCTTTTTCATTGTTATGCTTTAATTACAAGCACCTTAAGCTCTAAGCTCAAGATATTCTTCAAACAATTGAAAAAGTAAAATTATATCTTAGTTGATCAATTGCTATCTAATTGCATCATTCTAGTGATATTACATTTCAGACCTATGGAGTTTTCAAAGTAAAAACAGAACCTTGAGACTACATTTGCTGCACTTACAGCAAATACAAATTTCTGTACATTCCTTACTGCTTCAAACAGTTTTTGTCAAAGCATTGGATAGAAACTGTTTGAAGAAGTAAGGAAATATACACTATAAATACTGTAAATACTCATGATTGTTTTTGCTTTGTATAACAGTAAATGCATTGAATTCTTCACTTATATCCCATAATTAATGACTAAGAAAAGCCACAGGTAGCAATTCTAATAGTGCCAAATAATTTTGACAGTAGTCTACAGCTATGTTCATTAGACTGTTTTTTAGATCACCCATTAATCTACAGGAATATTCTAACACATGTAGATTATAGGTTGCATTTTTTTTTCATTCTCTGCAGAATCAGATTATATTCAGAGATGTATGCGATTTCTTCTTCATTACCTGCATCCAATATTTTTGCCATTCGTGTTTTCTAACAATGGACATTACAGAAAATATATTATTGATCAGCATGATGAATATGATGTAATAACTTCAACTTGTTTTTAGAAAAAATTGAAAGATATCTAAGTCAGCTCTTCATTCTTGCAAGAATGAGTTACAAAATGATTTCTTCACCAAATATGTTTTATAGCTCCTACTTTAGGACATAAGGTTAATAATTTTTGAAAGGAGAGAGACATCTTTATTTAGACATTTACCTGAAGGATAATGTTCATTCACTGGCCATCCATCTACCTGAAGTGTTGCATTACCACCATTTCGGGTAAAACGCACAACATGGTATTTGCCATCATTCACAGGAGTGCTCTCCTCTTTGATAGAGATATCTACTGTGCCAATATTGAAGACTACACCAATTTTGCCTTGTTCCTGTGAAGGAAAGAAAAGAGTTGTGGATAAATTCTGGAAGCACGGTCGAAAGATGGATATATTTTGCTTAAAGTAATAAGATCAACATATACAAAATGAGAATGTAGGACATACTTGCCTTTGTAAGTCATATGAAATAAGACTTGATATAAAGCATAATAAAATAATATCCTAAATCAAGTGAAGCGTGGTGGCTCAGTGTCTTAAAGACGCTGGATTTATTGGCCAGAAAAGATTGGTTCTCTGCACTCCACAGTTTGAGCCTTAGCACTGTGTGACAGAGTGAACTCCTGTCACTCACCTCAGCTTCTGCCAATCTAGCAGTTTGAAAGCATGCAAATGCAAATAGATAAATAGCTACCACTATGGTGGGATTAAGGGTGGAAACAAGAATCCAACCAGTGCTGGTCTGGCCAAATGAGAGGCAAAAACTGGTGGGGGAAAAACCCCAGATGACACTGCCACCACCACAGAACTTTGTTAGCTGTTCTGTGTACGGAGCTAGTTCACCCCCTCTGTGGTGTACCCTGGATAGTGAGTGAATGAACTAGCAATCTTAGGCAGCCAATCTTAGGCAGCCAAACTATTACTCTGTAATAACATTGTAGATTTCTGGCTTTCATGTACCAATGCTATACGCTAAATAAATAAATAAAAGCTACATGAAGTGTACCCTAGACTCATTTATTTCTCTAATTCTTTTAAAATCTTATTTTACTCAAGACTGGCATCAGAAATCGTAACAATATAACATTTAAAATGAAAATAAGCATCTGCTTCTGATCTTAAACAAGATAATAGTGATCCCATCTGCAGTTTTTATTCCATACAGTTACTTCAAAGCCTGAACAAAAATTGCACTTTGAAGACCAATATTACAAAAGCCAATTTTACAGCCAGAATGACTTATATGTGGCCAATAAAAGAAAACTGAACGCATAAGGTAAAGCACATAGGAGAGGCCAGTTTCCTAGGATTGACTCCATCTGTGCTCGTGGTGTCCAATTAGCATTCTGATGAAGTTGCATTCTTACAGTTATATTACCATACAAATGGATCAGGAAAGAATGAATAAATTAACCAAACACTTCACATGAGTCTAGTTGAATAGTAACACATAAGCTCTATATGAACTATTCCTGGATTATTCCTGGCCTCTTCACTTAAAAGTGATCAGATAAAAGATGAACAGAAAGATGATGGGATCCTGTGATCCCATTACAAAGGCTGATTCTAATATATTTCTAATTATGTGAAAGGACAAGAATATGTGTATTTTTCTGGGGATTGACATCAGATGGGCAAAATACAATCCATTATATAATATTTTTTATATTTTTTTCAGTAACTTCTATGGGGATTACTGAGAACATTATTTGGATTTGCTTTGGATGGCCCATCATGGAATGGAAAAGAAAACAGCGTGGAACTAGGGGCTGCGATGTCAACTGAGCTATGGAAAGAAAAGATTAAAAAGAGGAAAAAAGGAAAAAGAAAAAAAAATGGGGGAATGAGAACAAAGATAGAGAAAATATACAAGAGGACCAGGACTAGTATAATTAGACTGGTTGGTTAGGATCCAAGGAAAACTGACCACAGTGAAATGAACAACTGGGAGTGAGCTCAGACCTCATCTTGGGACTCTGTAAAAATATGGGATGGTGGCAGAAGAAGCATAAATCAAGCAATCATAGGAGAAGAAGGTGATAAGAATTAAATTATCTGTTCTTTTAAAGCAGGAGTCATAGAATTGAGAAGAAGAAGACCCTCTCTTGCTCTTGCCCTAGATAATGAAATGACATGAGGGCTGATTGTTCTAGTACTAGAAAGTGCCACTGGGATGTGTGGTTGTGGTAGGAATATAGCTGCCAGATGGGGTTGGAATGGATACATCAGATGCAATTGGACCATTACTATATAGCTCAATTGGCTGACTAGAAGAAGGGTGATAGAGAACTAAAAGGTCAGAGATGGAAGAAGACCATCATTATATACTGCTGCAGTTGAGTTAAGGACTCTCAATAGTTCAAATATATATACATATACAATTGAAACATCCATGAGAAAAAATTAAAATAAAAGAACAATAAAAATATACAGCATCATTCCCCAAATAATCTATGAAATCTGATTTAAACTGTAAGACAGTGAGGAACCAATCTAATTTTAACCAAGAGGCTATTTCTAAGGAACAGTTTCTCCAGGCTGTGTCTTCACTTACTTCTGGAAAGTGGGGAACCCTGTGCTATTTCGCCTGGAAAGATTGCATAGTTCAGGCCATTTCCATCTGGACAACTGGACCAGAATGTTTTTTATTACTATTTTTTTAAAAAAAAACACTGTTGATTATTGTTATTTTGTATTATTGCTTTTATTATAACTTAAATCTACATATACATTGCCTGGAGTCCAACTAAGATGATGGATGAATCCCATAATTAAGATAAATTAAATCTCTGGAATATCAAATTAAACAAAGAAGACTTGTTAAGAATTTCTTTCATTGCCATCTGCATGCATGTTTTATTAGTCTTACTTCAGTTCTACTTTATTAGTCATAATCTATCTTTTTCACACACATGCATATACACAAAAGGCACAATTGGTTCTTCAGCATGAATTCTTAATGCATTCATTACTTAAGAAAGCAGCTGTATCTCTTAAAAAAAAAAACCCTCCAACACCTTATTTGATCAAACAAGGTATCTGGTCTCTGTTAACTTTGGGGTGACAATGTTCATGTAACACAGTGGTTCTCAACCTTTTTAATGCTGTGACCCCCAACCAGTCGTAAGTCAAGGACTACTCAACCAGTCGTAAGTCGAGGGCTACTCAACTGGTGCAGCACTGTTTGCAGAATGGGACTTTTGGCGGGCTCAGCAGGGCAGAGACAGCCTGGACAATTCCTATTGGCTTTTGAAAGCCAATAGAATTAGACTCTATTCAAGAGAGTCTATTCTATTGGCTTTCAAAAGCCAATAGAATAAAAGGGAGTAGCACAGCTAAGGAGAAGGGGAAAAAAATGGCGGACTGCATTGTTTGGTGACCCCCGTGAAATGGTCATTCGACCCCAAATGAGGTCCCGACCCACAGGTTGAGAACCACTGATGTAACAGTAAGATTTATAAAAACATATGTCATTTCATTCTTTCTTTCAGATTTAATAAAAAAATGTTTCAGTATAGAGCATATTTCTTCTGCTACATTTTCTATACTCCTCATGGACCTTTGTCAAGAGAGACCGGTAAAATATATATTTCAAGGCAGGACATTGAAATATAAGATAAAATAAAGATATATTGTTCATTTCTGACACTGTGGAGTCCTGTGTACAACAAGCAGTGAGAAAGAACCATAGATGACAGATGAATTTCTTCTGTATTTTCTATGTCTACAAAGCAGCAACAAGTCATTAACAAGCAGGCAAAATAGTTATTTAATATTGTTAGGCATGGTTTGAAATTTACCCACCTACATCTATATCCCCCTGATATGTCATGATATAACTCCCAAAATATGGCTACTTTTGTTGCTTGAGAGTTGTAGACATGACATTTTATGAGATTGTTTACATCTGACTTTTATAATTTCTAAGAAAATAAAGCACAATTGTATATGCTCATTGTATTCCAGTGTTTATTAATATGTTTGGATATTCCAAGGTGGCCTCATCATTGTTTACACAGAAACAGTCTCTTTACCAAAGTTTTAATTCCAATGTCATCCTTTGCTTAGTTCCTTGTACTGGTTTAAAGAGTAATAGTCTTAAAGTTTTTAATATCTTTGCAAACTTTTCTGAGATGAAAATATCTAGGGAGCAAATGGAATCTTCAGAAACTTGCTTAGCTACAAAAAGTACTTTCCATCTCATAATGATTAGAAAAAAGCATAAATACCAACCTGTCATTTCCTGACAATTGACAGCAGTTGAACTAGCAATTGTCTAAAACAGAGACAGCCCTATATTACAGGCACCAGGGAATGTACCACATAATGTTTTAACTAATAAACACCTTGATCAAACTCAGCTCAATTACTGGATGTCTGCTATGGCAGTGGGACTGTACCTTAATGATTATTCAGAGCTGTCTGTCTTGGCTTATAGAGTTGCACTCTCTCTCTCTCTCTCTCTCTCTCTCTTTCTCTCTCTCTCTGTGTGTGTGTGTGTGTGTGTGTGTGTGCGCGCGCGCATGCGCGCGCGCGTGCCCATAGTTCAGAAAAATGGATACTTTTTGTCACTAGCCAGTGAGCAGAAACATTGCAGGACAAAGAAACAAGAGTCAGATGATTTTTTGACAACATAGATCAGTTGACATTCACTTTTGCAAGCTGCACATATTTGCCCACAGCAAATATGAAATTATTGCTATAATTCCATAATGTATAGCCCAAAGTATTATATGATGAAATACAGATGTAATAAGAGTTTTCATATGGCTCAGTGCGACCACAACTGGCATATTATTTCCTTACACATATTTCTTTATATATTGACAAACTGGGAGTTCTGAGATTTTTTTTGAAAGATAAATTGATTGAAGATATTTATTTATATATAGAGAAAAAAAATTATGTACACCTATAATGGCATATAATCAAACTATTTCAGCATACCAAACATCACCAAGCAACCATAATTATCACCTCCTCCACGTTGCACAATGCAAATGTATACTGAAGTTTGATTTAATATGTTCTGTCAATCAGATACTATTCAATTTATATAAAATCAAGATATGTCATACAACACTTTTTAGTTGGACAGCAGCTATATGTAGAACATGGCATGTAAAACTACTGCCTCTTGGTTATCAAGCCCAATTAAGTAAAGAAAAACTTTATTTAGCTGACAGTCTGATTTTTTTTTTAAAAAAAGAATACTGTTTAGCAAAAATGAAAAGAAAGATAGCTTGGTAAAATCTCAACAGAGCAAAAGTTTCATAATTATAGTGCCTCTATTATTTGGGACCTCTATTTTGGAACTAACACTTGCCATTATA